ATTAAACCAGGATTAGGAGCACTATTTCCAGATGAGTGACAAAACATACAAGCCTTAACAGACTAAGGCTGTGTTCCTTTAGCAAGGTCTGAAGTTAATTGAGAAGTTAAATAGTTCTAATCACTTTACTAATACATTATTATAGACTCAACTGACAAAACAGTTACACAGCAGCTAACTACACCCTAAAAAAGGTCTGTTTACTCTTCTGCAGAAGTCTACAGAGAAGTATCTCCAAGATAATGGAGGATTTTAGAAATTTTATTCAATATATACCAATGTTGATACCTGTTTTAGTATACTAATCCAAATGCTTAGATTTAATCAGACGATCTCTTTCCATTTAACAGTGAACTAAGCAGCCACTCAAACATACTTATAACTGCATACAAATGTAGAATATTAAATCTCTAAGAACATGAGATCCAGAGGAAGGAAATATGGAATCCACTCCAGCTCTGCCATCACTAACTGACTGACCTTAATGAAATCCTTTAATATTTCTGAACATCATTTATTCAATAAGCATTTATCAAGTGCCTATTATATGTTGGATTCTGGGAATATAGATATGAACAGAGCAGTGCCTACCCTGGAGAAACTCAGAATCTAGCTGGAGAGATAGACAAGAAAGCAATATGACAGTATGGTGTGTTAAATATGTTAGGGAGTGGTTGTTAGTTGTCATCAGGTTGGCTCTGACTCATGCAGAGTCAACAGAACAAAATGATGCCTGGTCCTGTGCCATCTTCATGATCATTGAGATGTTTGAGTTCATTCTTGCAACTACTGTGTCACTTCATCTCATAGAGGATTTCCCTCATTTCTGCTGACCCTTTACTTGGTCTAATATGATATATTTTTCTAACGATTGTTATTGGCTGATGCTATGCCCAAAGAGAGTCAAAGTCGCACCATCCTCATTTCTAAGGCACATTCTGGTTTTATTTCTTCCAAGACTGATTTGTTTATTCTTTTGATAATCCACAGTGTACTCAACATTCTTCACCAACACCATGTTTGATTGTATCAATTCTTTTGTCTTCCTTTTTCACCATGCAACTTTTGCATGCATATAAGGAGACTGAATAGATCAAAGTTTGGATCAGCTGCATCTTAGTCATCAAAATGACATCTTTGCTTTTAAAAACTCTCAAGA